AGAAAGAAAGAAAGAAAGAAAGAAAGAAAGAAAGAAAGAAAGAAAGAAAGAAAGAAAGAAAGAAAGAAAGAAAGAAAGAAAGAAAGATCAAAAGAACAGAACAAAAGAAGGAAAAAAAACTCTCTAAATGAAGGTTTCACTACACGAAGGAGGCAGACTTTGACAGGGAAAGACAGATGACCTGAACCTTGATGTCTCTGGTACTTATTGAGCTGCAAACACCAGCAGGGGTCCCTGAAACCCTCAGAAGACCCCAAACATACATCAACCCAGCCAGTGACAGGAACCTTTTCCACTATTCCTCTTTGCCCCAGCTGTGGCTGAAGAGCCTCAGTTGCGTAGTATCTCATATGGGAAATTACAGAGATGGAAAGGAGGGGGGGGGGTGTCAAAGTTGATTGGTCACTGATACACCTCTGAGCCAGAAAGGAAGTGGAGTAGTAACGAGGCGAAACTGCTCATCTCCTGTGTGCTGACACACAGCAAGACTCAAATGGCTGCGCTTGACGTGTGTAAAGACCCTGACACGGCTCTGTTTGGCTCATGCAAATTGTGAGGAGGAACAGCAGCAGGCTTGGCAATGATGTCTTTTTTCCACCTATAAAGCACAACTGACGTAAAAGAAGAAGCTTAAAAAACTGCAGCGATATTCCTTAAGGGGCAGATTTACTCTAGCTAATTGCTGGGCGCAAAATTATATATGTTTAAATAAGCGTTTCCTTTTCAGATTTAAAGTCATGAAAAACAGTTTGGATAGTTTGGATTTATCTTATAAACTGATTTTGAGAACATTGTGATGAAAAAAAATCTGAAAAAAAAACAAAAAACAGCACTTTTCCTCTTTATACACACTTAAAATATAATATATGTCAAAAGAGAAAATGATCTTAACAGAATCAGGATCTTAAGTCGTGAAAATGGGCCCTGATCTAATTTCCAACAACTTAGAAGACTGTGAGCTTATCAGAAATTGTTTTCAATTTGCATAAGTGATATTGTGTAAGACTGTGAGTTTTTAAATTGGTGACGTGACCACAGAATAATATTAAAGAAAACGGTGAGTGGGTTGCAGAGCTTAGTGATCTTTGAACAAATTCCTGAAAGTATAGCACAGCAAAAATGAAGAAAAAGAAGTATTTTAGATATCTAACAGTTTCTGTCTTAAGCTCTGACACCTAAAAAGTACCTTGCTGACTCTGAGAATCTGGAACATGAGAGGTAAGCCGTGTGTGATGAGCTCCTCTGTGTACTCCTCCTCCTCGATGCAGCTGAACTCTTTCAGCAAACCCTGGATCAGAGGTCGACGGTGCTGATGGAAGCATGTACGCAGAGACTCCAGCCAAGTGTGCAAAGTCCACGGGACGCCTGCGTGACAGTCCCAGAGACAAAAAAGAAACTCAACTTAGCTCATGAAGCCTCTGCAATAAGGAGGTAAACGTCACATGAAAGTAAAATGGAAGCTGCGGGCGTTTGCAGGAACCCACCAAGGCTGCGTATGTCTATGGTGATGTCTACGTGTCCATGCTCCGCACTGTGGTACATGGCTTCTTTAAGAGCTTTGAGTTTGGCCTTTCCGCTTCGGATCAGGTCCATCTGAGATGGACTTCTACCTTCCAGTTCTGATCCCTCTGCCAGAATTTCCTCCAAGGACAACACATCCGTCTTGCCTTTCTCCGAATGGGACAACAGCTTCCGAAACACATTTCTACAAAAGAAAAAAGAAAAGGCACATAAACATTATATAGTTTATCTGCATAAATTATGATTGGAATTATGTATTAAAGTTGCTAAACATTAACTTTGCATACAGAAATGCTGGTCATCTCAGAATGAAAATAACACAGTGGACATGTTTTTCTGTAGCTAGACACAACTCAACATTTTAGGGATTCTTGGAAAACATTGGACATTGGGACAAGTGAAAAGTGCAAAAGCCATTTTTTGCTGTATGCAAATTCATCAGTGACACATGTAAAAGTGACTTCAATGATCTCATTCTAAATGACTCAACAGCATGATTTAATAGTGACTGAATAAGTGTGCTTGTCAAGCATGCCTGCAGTCCAGATCTGCCCCCTATTGAAAAAGCATGGCGTATTAAAAACTGGAGAATCAGTCAAGACTCAAAGAAAAACAAAAAAAAACAAATAGATTTATGTTTCATTTACTATGCCATGCCTTGAAATGAAATGAAAAAAGCTAAAATGTTATTCTTGTCCAAGAGAGCAAAAGATACCTGCAGAACACAATGACAGCATTCCCACAACTATCAGAGTGGCTACGGTTGGCAGGAGGGTCTCATGTTTTCTTTAATCCTGCCAATGATGACTCCGACCATAATCCTGCTCATATGTGACTCCCAGCTATGCATATCTAATGCGGGGGGGTGTTGCCATTTAGACTTGGCTTGATTTACATCACAAAAAATATGTATGATGGTCCAAATGCAGCAGGTAGAATTAGTTGGAAAAACTGGTAGTTTGAGCCATTTAAATAAATTTTTATTTAAAAAAATACAGGGGGAGTAGTAGTTCATTAAAAAAAATTACATATCTAAATACTTAATCCATATCATATCAAAAAGATACTGTACCAACCACAATATGGCACTAAACAAAGAAATAAAGTTTTTCTATCCATCTACCTGTCTATCAAATAAAGACAAATCTGTTTGGTGGTTTATGTTTCAGTTTACTTGGGAGTGGGAAGACTTTGTGAAAGCTACCTGTGTCCGTGAGCTGCTGCCAGGCTGTAGGAGTTCATGTCTCCCTGCGGTGCTGTAGAAATGCCGTTCCGGTACATGGTTCCCACCATGGGATCAGCCCCCCGCTCCAGCAGCAAACACACCAGCTCAAAGTTACCTGCATGTGAAAAAAAAAAAGAGTTCATAGACTCACAACAACGACAAAGACCGGTTTTGTCTACATTCCCCTCCTCCATTTGTCTTTTCGTCTCCCGGACTGAGAGCCTCTAAGTTGGTATTCTGGCCGGTGATCATGCAGACAGTCAGGTGCTGTTATCTGCTGCTTATAGATGGTCAGCTGCTGCTGCCAGCATGGCGCAATACATCTGGACCGGATTCAGAGAGGATGCTGTGTGCTTGTACCTGCAGCGGCAGCCAGCTGCAGCGGGGTCTCTGTGTAGTTCTCCATTCCATCCTGCAGGGAACCCTCCACGTTGGCTTTGGCATCCAGCAGCAGCTGCAGGTGGGCACACAGGTAACCATGACAGGAAAATGAACCGTACACAATAAGGGGAAGGCAGAGAATTCGACTGGATAATTAATTAGGATATATCTAACTGCCCACTGCTTAATCTACATTAAAAAAAACCTTCTTCAAGCACTGACAGAAAGATACTTTTAATTTATTATTAGGGAATATTATCATGAGGTAAACTCAACAAACACAAAAAATGTCATCTAAAATGCTGAAAAATTGGTTGAATTTAAAATCAGCATCTTGTTAACGAGGGCTAAAAATAACGAGTAATCACTATGGCGTGACAAAACACGATAGAATCTAATCTTTATGTGCTAGTTGTTTTTCCCTCAGAGGGCAGATTACTATGTCATGTGGTATGAATGTTTTCCATTAGAATAAAACTCAAAATCCAATTGATAGATCACTTAGAAAGCTAACTGAATTAGTTAAATGAGTTCGATAACAATTAGGCTGCAGAGTTTCCACTTTCGACTTGCTAAATGCAGACTGATCCATTTGCTAAAACATCAAAATGGACACGACTACATTGAGTTCTCGCCTGAGTAAATGACTAAAAATCCTCTTTAAATCTAAAAAAAAGTTCCAGATGTATACCACACAAACAGAATTCGAAATAAAAGAATCAGAAATGGAAAAAAAATTAAAAAGAGAGATGAAGAGGGAAATTCAGAGAAGCTTTGATGACAAAAATGACAATGAAGACCAACCATGAGCTGAAGCACAATAAGAGGTCACAGTGAGAGATTCACAGGTCAACAAGGATGTCACTACCTGCACCACAGGCACATGTCCGTGTAACACAGCGAAAGTGAGGGGCGTCGCCTGCCGCGTTTCGGGAAAGACTGAGGGGTGCCTGTGTACTGTGTTTGGCACCTGGGGAAGGGACACAGGTGGGTGGGATGGGTAGGTAGGAGGAAGAGAGGTGGAGGAGAGAGATATCAAGCTATTAAAACTGCTACAATGGAACACAACACAAGCAGCTGCAGGGAGGAGAGATGGGGAGAGGAAGTTAACATGAAAACTAGGGTGATTAAACAGGAACCCTGGGGCTGGAGAGGACATCCTGTCCCCATGTTCACCTTCTAATGAACACCACGGATTGATCTGCATGGACTGGACATGTCCTAATGGTTTCGCTCTGATCCACAGTTGGCTGCTGTGACCCATCTGATCTCTATGATCAGGCTGATCAAATGAAAGCAAGACAGGGATGAGACAGCCACATGAACAAAAGACAAAGGCACACTGATTTTCGAAGGCTACCTTGGCAAGACGTGAACTGGGATGCGGATGCGAAACATGTAGACAGGAATTTTGGTAAAACTTCATAAACAAGCACAAAACATTGTGATTTTGGTGGGTACATGTCTAAAACTTAAAACCATGAGGTACACCCAGGCAGTCACAGCCGTCCTAGACCAGCTGGAACAATAGGGAGTCTGCACAGTTATGTTAGCCTCACACATTTTGCATGCTTATTATTACTTCCTGTCCAATACTTCAAAAGGTGTCATGCTGCCTTGTAAAATAATTCGCTAAAAACCTCTGGAACACAATGTAACTGTTAGAGCGTCAGACTGTCCTTTTTGTAAGTGAAAACTATAAAGAAATACTGGGATATTATTAATTTCACCTAACAGAATTTTTATATTTACCAATTAAACCAAAGTTGAACCAAATTCGTGCAAAAATAAGGGATAATTGCACCTAACAGAATTTGTATATTTAGCAATTAAACCAAAGTTGAACTAAATTCATGCAAAAAAAGGGGGAAAAAACACAGTAAATCCCATTCATCTGCCACCACTGAATCCACCTCTGAGCTGCTGACAAAAACATGCCTGCACAATAGCAGGAAATGAATGTGAGAGTGGACATTGCTTTGTGCTTTGACCGGAGGTCATGAATGCAACAAACAGCAAATCAACACTGACACAATAGCTGATGGGACACGTTGCTGCTGAGATGACCAACAAAGATCAGGATCATGAGGCCTGAACCGAACCGACAAGTCAAAAGACACCACCTCAGTTGTCTGCGGACACGTTTTCACCATGCTTTCAATTTGCCCGAAAACTATTGGCTTTGCCATCAGAGAGAAAAAAAAAACTCTATTTGAGCACTTAAAGGAAAATTCTCTTTCACTGTGTGAATGGGAAGTCAGGGCCTCATGATTCTTACCTTTATTATATTTAGCAGCGTGACATATGAAAGAAAACAAGAGGTGATAGGAAATGATGTTTAGTTCTCTCCAGTTCTGCACCACACAAATAATGTAGTTACATATTTGAAAAATAAATCTGAAGATTTTGAGAGAAGCTAAAAAGCTTTCACCTTTCCTAAATTCAATTCTTCCTAAGGAAATCTGTTTTTCCAAACATGGGTTAGATCCATCTTCTCAAGGCACTGTAAAAATCCGAGCAACAGCAGGAATCTTTTTTGCCACTGACCTCGCTGTTTATTTCTGCTCCTGCATCCAGCAGCATCTGTACCATGGCCTCGTCTCCACGGACGCAGGCATACATCAGCGGGGTCATCCCCTTCACAAGGACAGGTGCAGAGAGGCAGGGAGCAAAAGCAGCCAGCAGGTTAGAGATTCATCTTTTTTTTTTCCGTTACCCCACAGCATTATTACTTTTTAAATATTTCTGACGTTTCTTTTTCTAACTCGTTTCATTGTCTGCATTTCTAGGCTATGAACACTGAGTCTTTTCCAAACTTGTATCCTTAATAGCTCCACTCCTGGGTTAAGATTCTGCCGCCTATCAATATTTAAACAGCTCACCCTATAGATCAATATGTCCTCCGGGTTATCTGGAATGAGTGTCTGCAAGAAACATTCTGTACCAGACTCGTGTTTTGAAAGTTTCCTGCTAAGTTGAGCCCCCAGCTAAATGAGATATTCTTGAAGAAAATCATGCGTAACATTTGCAATATTCCCCTGATGATTTACCATACCGGAGGTTGGTAGTCATGATATAATGCAGAGTGTCTTGGCAGTTCCACACTGTGGGCAAATTAAGCCGAGGGAAGATTTAACATGTACGACGGCCCACATACTCAAAGGTGAGGGAGACTTGGTTTTCCCGAGCAAAGAAAGTAAAAACCTCTCCTATAGCCTTGTATATGTGTGTGCATGTGTAGGAATGTGCCAGCATATCTATTATTTACATGTTGACCGGGCCTCTAACCTGCTCACTCATGCTGTTGATTCCATCTGGCCCGAGCAGGTTGACGGCCTGCTTTACCAGGTCCGTTCGTCCACAGCTGAGCATACGGAAGCCCAAGTCCTGCAGGAATTTGGCCTCAGTGGAGGCAGCGTCCAGTTTCCTCGAGGCACAGAAGCAGTCATCCGTTCTACGGGGCAAAGCACAAGCAGATATTTCAAGTGCAGGTCTGCTGTTATGACCACACTTGGGGAGGATGAATGCATTAGTAATATTTTGATCATTGTTAATCGTTGTATCAGGGAAGCGTGTGCGTGTGGGCTCAGATGAAGAGGCTGGGCTGAGCACATGCTCTGAAGCTGAAAGGCAAGCACAGCCCCCCCGAGCCATACCGGAGCTGGCGAGGCTCACAGTCCACTCCGGGGAGCAGGAGCCTGGCCGTCTGCCGAACGTCATCGCTGTCCACAGAGAAGCTGCGCCTGTGTTCCGTGTGGACCACGGCCACACGCACCCACTCCATCAAAGGGGGCAGCACCATAAAAGGCCTGTGGGGGGAGGTAAAAGCACACGGTCGGGCCACAATAGACGCTAAAGTTCTGTCAGGCTAATTAGTGTCTGCACGAGCAAAGGAAATCCACCTAACACAGAATTTGCATGTCCTTTTTTTGCAAGAACCAGCTGGTTGAGAAGAAAATGAACACTGTTTAGAAACTTTTTGGTTAAAAAAAGCAACCTATTGCACCAATAATAAACATGGTAAATGTTTGCCTCATGTGTTCTGAATATAATCACTATCTACTCTGCTTTATTGTAGTAAACTATATCCAGTACTAGTAATAATTTTTCTTAAATATGTTGCTCCTATGTTGTTAATGTGGCACAATAGCATAGTAGAGATATTAAAAGTCATGGAAACAAGATGTGTCTTCACACGTCTTAGAGTTGTTTCGTTTGGACTTGAATGGCCTTGAAAGCAACCTGATGCTTGCTGGTGACAAACATTATTAGAGGAAACTCACTGCCTGAATAAAGTCAACTAAAGGTGCAGTGATATTTTCTTAAATGAACCTACCCACAGAGGTAGGAGACATTCACCATATTGTTGATCCTGACACTGAAAAGCCTGTGAGAGCATGGCAGACATTTAGCTTTGTCGAGGAAACCACAGTCTGGGCTGAATTACCAGCCAATGTAATGCAGGAGAAAAAGCGAATGGCCTCAGACCCCAGTAGGGCCCCAGATTTACTCCACATGTAGAATTATGTCACCAACTTTACACTAAGAAATAAACCTTGTGTTATCAATATGTGCAAAAGCTTTTTCTTTTTTTCGTTCTTTATTGAGAGCTGCCTTTGGGTATAAGCATTTCATGTAGTAATGGAATTATTAAGTAAGGGAATTCATTTATTTCAAATTCTTCTCCTCCTGGCTACTCGTGCTATATTTTTTCTGTATTTTTGTTTTGTATTTTTTCTGCACCACTGTTAATAGGAGCTCCACAGTTAAAATACATATGCATGATGTCCACTTAAGCAAAACAATGAGCTTTCATTGATAGCATTACATTGTGCAAAATGGACTGGCACTCCCTGGTACATAAAGAAAAAAATGTAATGTAATGATCAGTCAAATAAAACCTTAGAACTCCTGGTACAGCAATGTACAGAAGCTGGAGTGTAGCATTGTTATGCATTACATGTCAAATATGCACACATTTCAAATCAAATTTGACAAATAATCTCGAACGAACTTTTAAAGAGTCCTCCTCGTTAGACTATTGATCCCCCCTGCCAGTTCACTCTTTCAAAACAGCATTCAGATAATTGCATCAACAGGAAAGTGCTGCATAACTAAGCTGGCTGTATATGTATCTTGTACTTTGTACGGGTTGTCACACACTTGATGAAACCTGGTCTGTTCCCCTGGGATTTGCCGATCAATAAAACACACCACCTCACAAAGGTTTTACTACCCCTGACACATGCTTGGCTCATATCAGTGACTTACTGTAAATCAGCCCCTCATCACTGCTTCTCTGAGCGGATGGGAAAGTCTTTAATGACAGCTTGATATGCTCAGAAATGCAAAGTCTTTTCTTTGACCGACTTCAAAGGGGCCTGACCGACGGCCATGTGACTGGCTGGTTCCACGGACTTCAATAAAGCACGCAGCACCTCATCGAGAGGCAGGAAATGTAATTGCAACACGTTCCTTCACGGGCTCTTTGGAAACTGCAGTTCACAAGCAGTTCAAGGTCTGGCTGTTTCCACGTAACGCTTCTGTAATAGGTGCAAAAAATTCCTGGGGGAAACTTTTTCTCCAGGCTTTCCTTAGTCTGCCTCCGCTTTGCTGCCTTCTTATGACAAAAAAACAAAACAGGCATAAGTGTGACGGTAGTGACAGAAAGCAGCTGGACACCTGGGACACGCATTATTTGTTGAACTGCTCGGAGGGAGCGATAAAGAATGGAGGCCCAGAAGAGGACTGTTCAGGCTCAACTGTCGGCCCCCTTTTCCACCGCTGCAAGCTGATGGGCGTTTCCATCAAAGTGTCGGAAATATTGAACACACAGTGCGTAAAGAAATAATAAGAAACGGCCCATAAAATGACCTGAAAAGTTTTGTTGTGGGTAAAAATAATTTAAAAAAATCTAAGAACCTCTCTAAGCTTCCCCGACTCGTGGGATGAAGTGTGAATTCGCACCATGGAAACTTTGCCTAACCTTCTTGTCGTTCACGCCTAAATCACCCAGAGTCCCACAGCTGCCCGTCCAGCCGGGCGTCCAACACCCCTTTTAGCTGCCACCGGGTCGTCCAAAGGGCTCGCATGTGTATCCAATCCAAGTCGACAACTCCCTTATATGAAACCAAGGTTTCGTTCCAGATGAAAACACCTGGTGTGCCGTTTCAGAGCTGAGCACAGAGAGCCCGAAACACAATAAAAGAACACTCTGCAGAGGTGTACAGTTGCAGCAGCAGCAGCACGGTCTCTGCGGCTCTGCTCAGCCGAGGTGAAAAGGACGGCAAAAACGGGAGGGTGAGCCGTGTCCAACTGCAGGGAGTTCCACGTTTTCTTACAGCCGTCTCCGTGTTTTTACAGTTGCCCCTGACAACATCACAAAGGCTATATTTTTACCTGCCCATAGCCCATAATGAGGTGAAAAGGAATGATCAATACCACTCACTCCTTTTTCACTTCCTTGTTCTGCTTGTTTATGATACTCATTGTATCACAGCCCAAACTATTCTGGCTGCTCAGCTATGATGAAAAAGTCCAACAATTCTATCTCAACCGGAAAGCAATACAGACAACAATAGTGCTTCACTGTGATTTTTGACTTATTTTATACTCAGCTTATTACTTTATGATCTCCTCACTATTTAGCTTGTTCATTGCAAAAACGTGGTTTCTGTCAAATACATGATAAAAATCTTTACTTCATCTCAGGGCCTGATGGAGGACGATCGAAGATGCCCAGTGCTCTGAGTTCCCTCACGGTATGATTGTTTCATCAAGGTAACAGAGTGCAAACCGGGAACTGAATGATTAAAGTTAAGATTATTTACAATTTCAGACCTTGTTGTTTCAAAGAATTTGCACACAGATTATTACAAGAGGCACGTAAGAAAGAAAAAAGGAAAAAAAAGTGCAATGTGCACCACAAGCTGCGTCATCAGTGAGGCCGAAGTGGAACAATGGTTCTGATTACTTTTGGAAGATTCATGCTGAGTACATCTACAATGCAGATGTTACAGGGTGGAATGTTGTGTTTAGTCACATGAAAAAAACAATGATGTATTAGCATAAAATATTCACCATTTTGAGAACTGCTCTCTCGCCAATCACACACTACACACTTGATTAACATGGACCAATACAGACAAATGGTCCGCAAACAGTTTCCATGATTTATCTGTAGCAATTGAATTGAAATATGATAATTTATTATTATTGGGATTTTTCTTTGTCCTTTCGATGAAGGACTTCACTGAGATTTTTGTGACTTTGTTAAATCACAGAGCAAACAACGAAAGCTGTTGGAATTCAGCAAAGGGACTCCAACAAGCAAAAAGAACATTTGCTGATGGGCGCGTTTATTTCATTTTCTTGTTAGTGGTGGACATTAGCCCCCACAGCCAGACAGAGCTGTCAGCTGTCTTCCAGTCAGCTCAGATCAATTAGTCTCATATTTCATCTTTCAAAGTACTTTTGCTGTAACATTTAGAGCATTTGTGTGAGATGTTATATTTCCTCAAGTTATTTTTGTGTAAATAAACACCTATCCCTGTTTCTTGTAACGGCCTCACTTGAAGTGCATGCATCCATCAATGCTGATCAGAACCACAGTCAGTAAATACTCACTATAAATTTAATTTCACTCAGGATTTAAAATCAATTAAGCACCTCCCTATTTAAAAGCCAGGTGTAAGCAAGTATCGGCAGATTTTTTTAATGTAGAAAAAGGTCTTCGAAGGTCTTTTGAAGAGCCAAAAGCTACTAAATCGTTTGCATTACTTGACCTTTCTATGGCCAAACAGGTGGAGCTGAGACTATTTTTTAAAATAATTAGCATTTGAATTTGAATGCCACGTAATCTTTGTTTGGCATTTGTTTGGTTATGTTTGGTTTTGTTTGGTCTAACGTTGAGATGTTTGGACTTCCTCTTGCATCAGCTTATTCATGTGTTTGCATCTTACCTCTCTGTTTGTAAGGTAACCTTTGACGGCTCAACATTGGGGTTCTCCCACTCCATATGCGGGCAGTGCATGAAGTAACACAGTGTGTAGATCGCCTCAGGTGACCAGTGAATCACATTGCTCTTTTGGTGAATGGGTGTCCCATTGCTGTGATTCTTCACATACAGTGGCTGAAGATGGTGCATGGCTCGGGACACTAGGTCGCCTACACAAACACACAAAAGAGCATAAATGTAACATAGTACAAAGGTACTGTATATTATCCATGGACTAAGGCACATTCAATAGACAAGGGATGGAATGCTATTTTGAGCGCATGGCCTTTAAAAAGTCATTGGGGAATCACCCTCATTCGTTCCATTCTCCTTTGAGCACACTCTGTCAGGGGAAATTGAGTTTCCATACACCACAATCAGGAAAAAAACAAGGTTTAGCCCCATCTTTTCTGTGTACTCAAAGGGGCAGATCCCAATGCACGAGAATGTATGAATGATTATGGATAAACATGAACTACCCCAAGCCTTTTCATCTGAATGCTTGGTCTGTTTCAAATAAAATTTGGTTGGTTTCAATGATGGCTTTAAAAAATATATGACATTCAAATTTATTCAAATTATAAAGGATAATAAAAAAATATATATATATATGTATAAAAAAAAGAAAAAGACAATTAAACAAATAAATACATTTGAAAAAATAATAATCATTTAGAAGACATTTAAAAAAAATAAAAATGAAGAATTGTATAAAAAATAAATAAAATATAGAATTACAAAATAAATCAAATTAAATAAAATTAAAATAAATAAACATACACATTTAAAACATGAAAATGAATAATTAATTCATTAAATTAAATAAATAAAAAGTAAAATAAATAAACAATTAAATAAAAGGAAAAAATATGGCTATAAATTGTACTTCTGTTAAAATCTGTAAAAATCTGTTATTATTCAAATAGTTCAGGATATACCTTGACTGAGCTGCTTTAAAAAAGACAGACATACAGTTTGGCAACTTTTGGCACATGACAGATATGACTGTGGTACTACATATTAAATCCATTTGGAAAAAAAGAAAGAGACACGAATTGGAGAATTCTTCCAGACTGTCCAATCTTTTCATGGAAGGAAAATACCCGACGACTGTGTCACCAAAGTTATTGAGTCTTACTCAAAAACTTGCATCATGACATTGTGGGCTCAAATACCATTCCCCCGAATGCTGTCAGGCTCCTGTCGCTTCCTGTCAAGACCCACAGCTCTCTGAGTAAAAATGTAATAAAGTTCTGTAGCACAGTTGATCTAAAAACACTCTGTGACATATTGTTCTGGTCGTTTTGATATGAGGCCCAAAAGTAATAGAGCACAACGTTGGTTTATTCTCCCTTCTCAATGGACTTCACTGAATGTGTGCCTGTACATTTGAGAATGGGAACAAACAAGTTATTTCTGTGGCCATAAGGGTTTGTTTAGCATCAAAATTGCACCATTTAGCTCGTGCCAAGACTCCATTTAGCCTGGACCATGTGAAAGGGGAGTGTGAAAAGAATGCTGGAATGAGGGAAGAGCATTCATGCGTGAAACGGTCCATCTCCCAACCTTTGGGAGGAGCGGTGCGAGACATCATCTTGGGACGCCATGAGAGGGAGATTATGAAAGGAGCGTGTGAAAAGTAAATGGTTACTATCAGTCACTCTAGTTTTATCTCTCTCTTAATTTCGTAGATAAGCTTCTAACAAAGCCGTCTGTGGCTTTGTGGCTCAGCTAATCAGCAGCAACCAGGTCTCACGTCAGTAAAAAAGTAGATTGCTTCTAGCACTGGAAGAACACCATGAAAAAGCATCTTAGAGAGGAAGCCTTTAGAAGATGAGCACAAGTCAAATAATTAAATTGGGACTACGTGCCATTACTGAGTGAGGAGGGTCATATTCAGTAAGGAGGAAACCACTCACATACCATCAGTCTAATAAGCTGAAATATTAAATATTTTACATTTGAAAAAAACCCTCTAGGTTTTTATCATTTGCACTCACATGGATGTCAATCAATCTAAAGAAGAGTAAGAGAAAAGTAGATGACCTCCTACAGATTTTAGATTTTTTAAATAATATTTGGAAAAGCACTGTCTGCTTTTTAAAGCATAGAGAGAAAAAATAGAGAAGAAAAACACAAATAATAATAAACATATAATGGAATAGCTCTGACTTATGAGGAGTTTTATCGGAGCCTGGCAATAAGGCAATACTCATTATTTCAGAGAGAGTAGACGATTTAGAATTTTGAGAGAGAAATTATAGTTGTTGGGAGGGGGGGGGGGGTGCAGGTAAAGAAATGAACAGTACACAGTACCCAACCTTTCTGTGGGTTATGATGAATGGTTTGATGGTGCAATGTGCAGCTGGTGCCTTCATCACAGTTTCTGTGTTTCAATTATTTGCTGCTATGCAGCTGTGATTACATTTAATAGCCGCCTGTGGCAATCCTGACTCAACAAGACGCAAAGATATTTTTCATGCCGTTAGTTTGCTAAATTTGAAAACAAGAGCTCTCAGCCACCGACTGATGAAGCTATCACAGAGCAAGGGGGGCAGAAAGTGTCACTTCATAAAGCCTTTCTTCATGCCTGCTTTGCGTTTCTGTCCAACTTTACATAACACATAATAATCTGTGATAAGAACAAGTGCACTGCAGTGTTGTGAGCCTGTCGCAACCCCCATTTGAGAATCAACATCGATATTTTAGCAAAACCAAAAGAAAAAAAAAAAGAAAAAAAGAAAAAAGCAAACAACATTAACATTGCGAGGCAAATCTCTTTTTGACAGAGGTCTCTAGGGTCTTTCCTAAGCTTATTTCACAAAATGCACTGCGGCACAGACATTTCTTCTTACACATGTTCAGGAGGGGCTGCAACACTCTTTGCTGCCTGCACGCAAATAGCTCAGCCAGCTACCTTGAAATGACTCAGGCATCTTTTTCAACAGTGCATAATCTTACACTAGACTACACCATCACAGAGGCATGAAAGAAGTGTATAAATGTGCCTGTATTAGGGTATTGCTTTTAAATCTGAGAAAACTTAATTGTCTCAATTAACCGTTGAGGTCTAATGCCATTTTTCCACCTTTGGGCTTTTTAGTCAAAATCACCCTCTCAGTTTAAAGCACTGTGATTAACACTTTGAACTGGGAGACAAAAAAACAATCAAAATGTTAAGCTGCCGATCAGATTCTGCCATCGACTTTGACACAAGGTGAAATAAAATGGCCATTACACAAACACAATCAAAAATTTGAAATAAAAAAACTGATTATACTGCCGCTGTGACTTAATGGCTTTTAAAGTGCATTACTTAGGGAACTGATGGCCATTAGTCAGTTTTGGTGGGAACACTTGTAGAAAAACAATCTTGAGTACATTACTCCAGACACGAAGAGGGGAAAAAAGGAACAGGATGAGACAGAGGGGAAGAAATTGATCAGTTTTGAAAATGGCAAACTGTTTTTGAGTGAAAATAAAGTGCATGAAAACCTGTCCCAAAGGGACACTAAAGCAGTATTTGAATTATGTATAAGGCATAATCATTGTTAGTGTTTTATGTAACTGTAGAGGTTGGCAAACAAGTTAGTAAGCTGTAATCAGTTTGATGAAGATGTCATTTTTCAATGTACAGTATGTTAACGCTACAAAACCAGGAGTAAAAGCAGAAGCCATCAAAATTCCTCAAAGGTCACCTGCATATATTCATTGTCTGGTATTTTTTCATTCCCCTTTTTTCTCATAACCTGCCCCTTCAGCAAGTGTTTCCAAAAATATTTTCCTGTTGCATATACTTTCATGCATATTCATGCTCTCCCCCCCTAAAGCCGCTAAGAAGAAAAGATTTCACTATAATTAGAAACACACCCAAGTTACAATAACTGGAGCTGTGGCAGGACAGCCTGACTGAGTGATGGTGACACACCAGCTGTCCTGATCATTGCACAAATTGCGGGACTGTCATTTCAAATATGCTAATTGGTCATTTTAGCAGAAGAGAAAATGCAAAAATAGTCAGAGCTGAATCTGTTAAAAAACCTCTAAAAGGGAGTCTAGATGCCAAAGAAAAGAACAGTTCTTTGATAAAATCCAAATTTCACAATACATATTTGAAGATAATTACTTGAGCGAAAAAAAAAACCTCAACATTGTGTTGTCAATTATTCAGTAAAGTCTTTCCTTCCTGTAATGCTTTTCTCAATTATTCATTTTGTTTTGGTTCGAGCTGCGTGGCTGTTTGCAAAGCCTGTCGTTCTTCTCAAGAGCTGATAGCATTACCGCTGGACTAAGCTGCGCTATTATCCATCAGAAGCTCTGTTGCCTCACAGTGTGTTTGCAGGGTCTACACAACAGAGCGGATCCCTGATTGATCATCAATAAAAACAAAAGAGAGGAATAGAGTCTGAGCTCGCAGCTACGTCTGAAGAAAACACAGTGTTTGGAAAGAGTGTCTTTTTGAGTGTTAATGAATGTTTGCAACAGATGCACAAAACAGATGTCCCCGTCGTCACACAATGTGACCTTTAACCCGTTAACCATCACTTTTATTATTCTTTTCGCGCGCATCGTGAGACATTCTGTTCTCCCTGCGCTGGTGGGTCTGACTTGCCGAGCAGCATACGAACACGACATAGCGAAAGAGCATCCCGATTCTGTGATTATGTCTGATTATATCAAATGGGAACATTGTGCATTCAGTGGTGTGCAACACAACATGTCGCTGAAGATCTGTTGGGCCCGTTTCAACGTTAGTCAGAAAGTTTTTCCCAAACAGAAAACAAAGAGGAAACTTTCATGAGAGCCCGGGGTTAAAAAAAATATCTCTGGGTGAGTATTCAAAAATCAATTTTTCTAATTATAAGACTCCAAAACACAAACACAACTTAACATCTTTAATAAAAGACTCATGAAAGCCATGTAAATTTGTTCAGACCAAATAAACAAATTACGAAAACATCGCTGTGCCCATTATTCTTTAAACAATGGGCACATTGTGAATGGCTGGATGTTCTATTCATTTTGTCTTATTTAGTTTTCTTATTTATGAGCCAAACTGATTCATTTTAATTTATGAATGGGGTTCATTAGAGTGGCTTTAAATGAAAATGCAACTCTCCCGATTACCAGTTAAGTAGCCTGGGATATGACACAGCACCTTAGTGAAAGAGAAGAAATTACATCGTGACTTTGGACAGCGATAACACACTCATTTGTTTTCAGTTGTCAACTGATTTAAGCCTTCAGTGAACATATTGAAGATGGTTTGGGTTGTTTGCTTTTTTCAACTTTCTTAAGTAAGTAAAAGTGGAAACATGTGAATCTATGCATCTACAAAGACGTAGATCAATAAAAGAAGAGTAATCTCAAAAACTCATCTTAAATTAGCTCCTGATCCATCAGGGACAAGGACACGTTTGAGAGAATAAGTGACACACAAAGTGTTTGGAATGAAAATCTCCCAGCGGGACTCAGAGGAGAGATACGAATAAAACCATGCAGAAAACAATGGGGATTTTCTCATTCTCCCTCAACAGCAAGAGCACAAGGAGAAGTTTACAAGATAGAGTGAAGAACCGATTTGTTAAAGACTTGGAAGTGGAACGGCTGACAGCAAGACAAGAAGCAGAAGTGGAGGCGGCTAATAAAGATGCAAAGACTCTCCGGATGGATGAAGAATAATTGTGAGTGTCACAGTTGTGATTGAACAGCTTGAGGACAAAAACAGAGAAGCTTGGACTTGAACTTGTGTGGAAGAAGGTAAGCAGAGTAAAGCACATGGTAAAGAGGGATGATGATGTGGGCAGACAAGAGGAAAAGTGGAAGGCCAGAGAGTAGATTTATGGATCTGGATACGCAGGAAGTTGCAGTGGAATTGGAAGATGTAGAGGACTGGAGGGGATGGAAATTGATGATCTGCTTTGGTGACCTCTAATGGAAGCACCAAAAAGGCCAGTTGCCAGTAGGCTTTTAACATAATGATTCAAACCTGTCTGTGTTGTTGCTTCCTGAACTTTTTAAAGTCTAGAATCGTACAAAACCTGCATTATCTGGGTCTCAGATTGCGCAATAGTCCACAGGGACAAAGAGGGATCTGCTTATAACATCAGAAGGCCCGATATTCCAGTCTTTTTTCAAATGACAGACAAAAAAGACTCACTGAGTTCAGAGATGCTCCCCACCCTCGTGGCCAGTAAGCATTGCTCGATGGAACGCAGCTCGGACTGACTGTAAGCGTTTGCCTCTCCACTCTTCCCCGCTCGCAGCTGCTGCTGGTCCATGTGCAGAATCAGACCCTCCGGCAGGCTGAGCACACCTAAGACAAAATGAAAGAAAATGTAATATAACATCAATGCTTTGATAGAACATGCAGTCAGGAATAATTCCAATAATGTACAGTACTTCTGCCTGTGTCTTGTTTGAAATCCTGGATACTTAACTGCTTTTTCTTTGATTCATGCTCAGTTTTGTTACATATTAATTAAACTAGTAGATTTGGCCTTGAATTCCCACTGGTTACCATTATCATATGATTAAATCAGCCTATATATATTTGTGATAACGATATCAAACAACAAGGGGATTCAGTATGTGTGTGCAATTACTTGTTTCAAGAGGCAGTGATGGCTATGTAGATTATATAATGCAGTATTCAAGAGCTGTCAGAAGCACTGCCAGGGGTAATACTGCATTCCAGTTCAAATGCAGGCCCACTATCAACACCTCTTCTTCACTTAGAAAGTGACAAGGCATGTTCTCTACTTTCATTCTGCTCACTGCATCCTTCTAAGTGTTTGCAAGGTGTCAACTTATGAAGTTTTAACTTAGCATCGTAATCACTGAGAGAAAAGCAGCTTTGGTTCTAATGTCTCCTCTTTCATGATATGCGCATTAGGCCTGTGGCAGACATAAGGTTTGTTACTCTGCCTGTGGATTGCATGTAAATCTATTTCGATTTGGGCCTCTGTTAGATGCAAATCAAAACATAAAGCAATCATATGTTGTCCATTCAAATAGACGCTGTAAAACAGAATATATCGATGCACAATTCGGTTTATTAAATGTTGAGAGTGAAAGGTTTACATGTGTTTTTAAAAAAATAGGCACGGTCTTAATTTGATGCTTGAGTCGTACTTCACAACAGAGACAGAGGCAGCAAAGAGAAAAAAAAAAGTAAAGCTGAAAATCTCACAGTTAATCAGAGGAAAAGATGACTCGAGGTGTGACACGTCTATGCATATATGAGAAGTAGTTTAGGCAAACAGCTCGACAATTTCAGAATTGCATATCCAAAGTAAGAAATGGAAAGTGAACATAATAACATCAAGAGATGCATAGTGGTGAGAGAAATCACAGCACAAAAGACAAAACCGAAAATCAATCTCGACTGGCCGTGATCTTTAAGAGGCACTGAACAAAAAAAACTACCAAGAGATAATGTCTTGGAAATAACTGCATGGGTTCAGAATTACTTAAAGAACCAATATCAGTGAAAATAGTTCCTCCGCAAATGCCACTTAAACTCTGCCGTAAAAAGAGAGATTTTGATATTCCTCAACATGCAAATGAACTTTGCTTTGCGAGGTTTTTGGTAAAAGAAAAGCATAATTTTATATATTTGGACAGGTCTTCTTTTTTTTTCACACATAGGCTAATCATCCTAAGATGGGTTTCTTAGAAAAAGAAAGTCTGTGTTGTTTGGCATGGAAACCTTACAGATAAGAAACTGTGGCCCCTTCTGAGGTACATTTTTTGTCCGGGTGACACCAGAAACCAGAAACAAAAGCAGGATACATCACCATCTGCAGCACCGGTTTTTGAGTGTTCCGATTTTTTTTGCCGAAGGTTTTGACACGCTGTTTTGAAGTTATTGAAGAGAAACATTCCCTCTGTTTCTAAAGGGATTAGGCAGAAACACCTCTCCTTTATTACTTCTGTTGCTCACAGTGCACCTCATTGGTGAGCAGTTCAGCAGTTCTTCTGGAAATCTTCAACCATTTGAAAAAAACAGAGGGGCAGGCATGCACACTCCTCCCTCTCACTTCTCTTTTTAACCAATTCTATATTAAAGGAAAGAGCCTAATTCATGGCCCAACTGCGTAGATGTACCCAGACTCAAGGCGCCAAGATGTGATCATGCACAATAATGCACTGCAGATCCCATCATTTTCAGAACTGGTGGTGACAAAAAGTAACCTTTAAACCCAGCCATATCATAACAAGGGACTATTGTTAATTTGGCCACTTCACTGGATTGATTTTATGTCAGAGTTTGCTCCAACCATGGTAGCTCTCATCCGGTGTTACATCATGGACTGCAGAGCTGCATGTGCAGGCCACAGGATATATCACTTCAAGGAAAGTGGACTAAACATGGGAAGAAATCTATTAAAGTAAAAAAGGGGGCTCTGTTCTATGATTATGACTGGGCAAATTCAGTTAATTTCAACTTTGGAACTCTTTGAAAAACTATAAAAACTGCATGGCAAAAAAGCTCAGTATTCCATTAAAGTCAAAGCCTGAAATTAAGACATTGCTTCTAAATTGAATGGTTTCTTACTTTGCCTGTGCTCTCTCAAAGTTTAAAAGATTTAGATATCCTTAATAATATTGCAGAAAAAGCAGAAGAAATAAAGTCACAAAATATCCACATAACCACATACATCCAACATAATGATCATAATCTAAACTGAGATGTACAAAACTCTATAGATTCAATAACGAAATGTGTGTATGAGTTAAGGTAAATATCCACATATATACAGTTCCTTTTTCTAAGTGTGAAGCTCAGACACTGTGGAGTTCTGAACTAATGACCACCAAAAAATCATGTGAAAAACACAGATCTTTTTAGCAAAATAACTTGGCAGGGTTAAAAAACAAAATCCGACTACAGAGCGACAAACCGTGGTAACAAGTGAGGAGTGATCCGCTAATCAGTGGTTTGATCCCGAGTTCCCACTGTAAATTGTCCTGGATGCAGCATGATTTTCCCAAATGCATGATCAGTGTGTGACAGAGAAAAGCTCTCCACAGGCCCAAACTGGACAGATGGCTGAACGGAAATATGTGCAAATGGGCAAATAGAGTTTTTCATGTATAGCAATTCAATAGATCAACAATACTACAAAGTGCCATGTAAACGTAGTCCTTTAGTCATTTTGACAGGATGGCTGTCCTCTTGCTCCTCGGATGACTTCTTAAATATACAGCAGTGCAGTTATGAAGGATTTTAACACAGACTACATACACTGCACTATGCACTGTGTGGAAGCAACAAAAATGGAAAAAATGCATGTGTAAATTGTAAAACATGCTTTTTTCTTTATGTCTCACACACAAATGATGTGTACATCCTTAAGTATGTGTTACAAACTAAACAAGCATGGGTAGAACCCTTTTTGTGAACAGTGATATAGATGAAAAAGTCTCTAAAATCAAGTTATTTAAAACTATATTAAAAATCTAAACTTCAACTATCACCTGGGTTGAACAAAATAACTAGGTTAGCTGTTACTCTGCCTCAGAGGGTCAGATTATTGGTCTGCTTCAAAGAAACAAACAATGAGGAAAACTGGGCTACGAACTGTTAAGCACATGATTAAAACCTGAAAGAATAGTGGTGAACCATCAACTTCGAAGATCATTCTAAAAAACATACTAATATACCAATAAACATACTGGTAATTAAGACTTTTTTATTTTTCATTTGTGTCTTTATTTTTTTGACAGCATGGGCATAACAGAGGATGACAGTACCAGGATTCATCCCACTCAATGTGAGAAAGAGTGGTTCAAAGAGCATGATGGCATTTTCACACATGAACTGGCCATCACGGAGTCCAGCTCTTCAGCCCCTTTGTGAGATCCGTATGAAAAAAGAGCGTTACTACTACATGCTTTCCTTTTGCTCTTGGATAGGAGTGTAATGTTGTCAGGGTTTTTAGTCCAAAGTGGGAGGAACATGAGAATAATTCTATTGTGTAAAAAATACAAAAACGTTACTATTAGACTTGAGCTCTCAGTTGTTGAGCTTCTTAACCTTGGTTCAGGGGAATAACAGACCCAGCTGACAGTGAAATGGTGATTGCTCTCAGGATGGACTGAGGCAAGGTGACTCACTGGCTCTTTGCCTCCTAATGCGAGGCACTGCCTTCCCTCAGGGAGGAGCTGATGGAGCTCTTACATGCCACTGTGGCTGCTCACTATGCATGCCTGCGTTAGTATCATCCCCCTGGTTCCACCAAAATGAAACCTTTTCAGGAAATGCAGTTTTGTCAGGTTTTTCGTTGCCACGCGTCAACACAAAAAAAGCTCAACTGATTAACTGGTCAAAACAATGGAATGGAAGCTGGTTGTTGTTTTAAGATGTATAACAGTGAGGGATGTCGCTGAGCACCTGCCTCTCTTTGAGAGAGACTGTCCCGTTCACCATATAGCAGCTGTTCAGTGCTAAAGAAAGAAGACTGGATGATCCTCTAGGCGACACACTGTCACTGGAGAAGAAGTAATGAGTACAAGAGTTTCCATTAAGATGTCACTGAATGTGTCTTAGTCATATCCTGTGATAGACGGCTGAACAGAAGATAGCGCACAGTCAAATGCTGCACATTCCATGCATCCTGCAGCTCTATATCCCTTAAAAAGAAAAAAAAAAAGAAAATATATATATTATCACATGTAACACGTATTTAAAACTTTAAACATTTTTTAATAATGTAAATCAATTTTGACAATTTTGTGACGCATCCGGCTTGAAAATAAGATAGTACCAGAAGCCAATTAGCTTAGATTTTCTGAGTGTACATGTGCGACACGGCTGTCTGTCTTCACGCACTTGGTTTTACTCCAACTATTTATTAAACCACTGAGTCAGAAAATGAGACACATTCCTTCCAACAGCTAGGTCTGGCTGACCTTTCTGTTTTCTCAGGCAAAGAAAGATCCGCTTGAAACTAAAAAAATCTCAGTTGACAGTCGCATCGTGCGTGTCCATGTTTTGTGTGTGAGCTCGCAAAAATGTGGGTATAACATTCCCCGCCGTGTTCCATTAGTAGAGAATTAATTGGCACAAGAAATGTTTTCATAGTCTTATAAGAGGCCATTTACACGTGCCGTGGGTTCTCTGGCCCTCAGTTTGCCATGTTGCACCTGTGCGTTTCTATAGTCCCCCAGTCTAAATTTAGGGCGGGATTGGCTTAATCACAGTAACAGATGAGTTTTTGTAGCCAAGGCTCCACTTTGTGTCCTCTGCCTTTGGTCTACACCTTTGATTAGAGCCTTGTTCTATACCTGCAAAACTTCACCTGACATAATAATTTGCTTCATTTTGCAACAATGCCACAGACAT